ATGCATAAAAGCATGTGCTGAGAATTCGTAGCATTTGACAAGCTCTGCAAATATATAAGGACGATTGCTTATAGGATACCCCACATTTTTAATATCGCCATCTTATATCATTTAGATAACCGATGGATGAATATATAATTAAAAGACTACTTATCATTTTAAAAAAAAGTAAATTGTTATTCATCTTTTAACCCACATTAATTAATTATTGTAGATAATTAAAAGAAATCTTTCTTTATTTTGTTGCTTAATTGGTATCAAATCGAAGCATATTCTTCCTTTTCCTTAGTCAAATACCCAAAAAATGATTTTAAATTATATATATATAACGACTAAAATTTTGTTAATTATAATATAAAAATATTATTATGAATATTTAAAAAAGTTACGTCGATAATAGGATTAATTTAGTCCCTAAGATTTTTTTTCTCTAATGTGAACAGAACAAAAGAAAATTTTCGAACAACTTGCAAGCATTTATTATTGAAATATAGACCGAAAACCCACAAATATTTGGTAGAGAGCCTCTTACTTCGCACCCAATTAAATATAAATTAATATATATTTCACAAGTAATGGAACAGAAATAATAATAAAAATTAAATTTATTATGATTTATGAATGATAGAATAAGCATATATTATAATTGTTTTATTCTTGCATATTTTGCAGTCTTTTCAATATATACTTTAAGTATATTTAAACTATAAACATTAACGAAGTCAATTATATCTTTAGTATACTAACTAAAAGAATATAGGATGATTTATTATTATTACTTTTAAATGATGAGGGTTAAAATAATAAGAAAGAATGCGATTTGTATTATATGTGAATAAAGCTCTGATTTGTATGCGAATAAAGTTACAAATATTCTTGATGAATAAAGGAAGCAGTCGTGGTTTTTTTTCAAGTTGAAGATATTGAAACCTTTAACAATGCAGGCCAAACACCGACGAATAATAAAACAAATAAAAGATGTGCCCACTCACCACCATGTGAACATCAACCTACCCTATGCCCATTACCCAGATATCAAGGTTTGGAAATTACTGTTACTCAAAAAAAAAGTTTGGAAATTACTGAATCAGATTTTCTTTTCGAATATACTCCGTTTATTCTTCTTTCTTCTTCTTCTTCTTCGAGCGAGTTAAATTAACAAATTTAAAACTACAGTAAACTAACATATTGAAATATATATGTAAAAACAATTAGTAATATATAAAATCTAATATAAACATAAATTGACAATTTTAGTTAAGAAATATTAAAAATCGTGTGTGAACTAATTATTCTAAAATATAAACTTTTAATGAATAATTTACAACTACAAGAAACTAATATATTAAAATCAAAGTAACAATCTACAAATAAGTCAAACTAACATATTATAACCATTGTTGAAAAAAAAATTTAACAATACATAATTAATCTTAAAAATAAGGTAATCAACATATTAAAAAATTATAAAAAAAATAATGAGTTGTTTGTGAATTTATCGAGTCAAATTAAATATTACTCGATTTAACTCACTAAGATCTCAACTCAAATTTGAGTTAAATCAATTGGAGTTTAATATTAATTAAACTTTTACCAAATTAAACTTGACTTGCGAACCGCTCAACTCAATTAACATTTGTAATAATAAAACTAAACAAAGCAAATTATGTGCCTTATTTTTAAGATTAATTATAAAATCAAATTCATGCTGTGTAAGTATATTGTTATTTTAAAAATAATTTAATTTCTTCTGTCTGTAAAATAAAATTTAAAATATTTTGCATAAATAATTATTTTATAAATTATAGAAAAACGATCAGAACCGAACTTGAAAGGAATCCAACATCTAAATCGTAGAGAAGCCGATCAAAGGATTTATGAATCCAAGTTGAAATTTGCTTTCTTTAGGACAGTGACAAGTTTGTCATTTAGATTTGAGTACATGTGGTCCGTACTCACCGTAATACGAGGGCCCCAAAATGAACCGCATTATTAACGTGCACAGTAATAACACAAATAAAATGATTGTAATAATTAAAAAGATTATAGTTATTTTTTAAAAAATTTGGATTTGTATATAACATTTGTAAATATATTTATACATTTATTATTAAATAATTATTATTTTTTAAATATATATTATTTTATAATCACTTCAAACTAATAAAAATCATAAAAAATGTCCGGGAATCAAATTTTCATGTTCTCTAATGCTTTAAATTTTAGGTTCAAAGTTAAAAAAAAAAGTCAAGGTGGTGAAGCAAGGGTCTACACTTAAATCATTTAATTACAGATTTAATTAATATGACACTTTTTTACCTAAAATTTGTAAACATGTTATTAATGAAAATATTATTATTTAATTATAATATAATTATTTATATATACTATTTAAAATTACAATTACAAATATATTTATTCCTGTATTAATAATCTTTAAAAAAATCAATCTTAAAATCATAAAAGATAAAGTTTGAATTTGAATTCAAATAATTTAAGTTAAAATGAGAATGAAATCATAAAATTCATAAAAATAAGTTACAATCATTGGGGAAAAATAAAAAAAAACCAGTTAAAATCATAAAAAATATAAAATGCATATGTTAGTCTGTAAATCTATAAATGAATCGAACGTTTAATGTACTGTTTGGTGAAAAATTCATTTATATTTATTTATTTATTAAATGAATAAATATAAATAATTTTTTATTTTTTATTTAAATGAATGAACATAAATAAATAAATAACTCGTTCAAATGAACACAAAAAAAAAACTATATTTATTTAATTATTTGCATTCATTTATTTTTAAAAAAAAATAAATATAAATATACTATCGTTCATATTCTATAGATTCGTTTACAATCCTATCAATTTGTCACTGCATTATATTCAAAGAATGAGATCGACGTATAAATCCAGCGTCAGTCATCAATGCATATCACATCAATTCAGGAAAAATATAAAAATAAAGAAATGCATAAAAGCATGTGGTGAGAATTCGTAGCATTTGACAAGCTCTGCAAATATATAAGGACGATTGCTTATAGGATACCCCACATTTTTAATATCACCGTCTTATATCATTTAGATAACCGATGGATGAATATATAATTAAAGAACGACTTATCATTTAAAAAAAAATTAAATTGTTATTCGTCTTTTAACCCACATTAATTAATTATTGTAGATAATTAAAAGAAATCTTTCTTTATTTTGTTGCTTAATTGGTATCAAATCGAAGCATATTCTAGCACCCCCAGAAAACTAAGCATATTCTTCCTTTTCCTTAGTAAATTACCCAAAAATGATTTTAAATTATATATATATATTTATTTAAAACGACTAAAATTTTGTTAAATATAATATAACAATATTATTATGAATATTTTTAAAAAATTACATCGATAATAGGATTAATTTAGTGCATAATTTTTTTTTCTAAGAGCAACTCTAGCGCTGCACTGTGAAGATAGAGATGCACTGTAGAAGCTCCAGTGCTGCGTTAAATGCATCTCCACTTTGGAGATCAATTGTGCGTGCTACTGTAGCAACACTACAATTTTTATTTTTAGTTATTTTTTTGTTTTATTATATTAAACATAATATAATATACTCAAGTAGATTAAATTGTAAGATAGATAAAAATATATTGAAATTAAATGAATAAACATACTATTTTTGGTATAAAAAATGCACTAATCGAGCATTATTATTATTATTTGTAATTTTCTTATTTATTTTTATTTACACAAAGTTATTTATGAATGTTTTATTAATGTTTTTATCTTGATATTTTTTAGAAATATATATGTTTTATTTTATATTTGAAAAATTAATATTATACTAATTAAATATTATGAAAAAGTAGAGTTTGTGGTAATGTAGAGATAACGCTAGAGATGAATTACTGTTTCATCTTTAGAGTAGAGATAGAGACGCTCTAGAATATAGATGAGGGTTGTAGATGGCCTAAGGGCATCTCCAATGCTTCTCTACATTGGAGAATTTCTCCAAAGTTGAGAGAATGCAACTCTTTAACCCTGCGCCACAGATACATCGCTGCAATGGAGAATTGCTACAGTATCACGCCACATCTAGCGCGGTACTGTAGCTCACGCTACATTTTTTAAATTAAAGTATATTAAATTATAAGATAGATAAAAATATATTGAAATTAGATAAATAATCATACTATTTTTTGTTTGTAATTTTTTGAATTTTTTGTAATTTTTTTGATTTTTTATATTTATAAAATTAATATTATAATAATTAAATATTATAAATAAAGTAAAGTTAGTGGTAATATAGAGATAACTCTAAAGATGAATTACTGTTTTATCTCTAGAGTAGAGATATATATACACTAGAGTAATGAGGATTGGAAATAACCTAATGTGAACACGACAAAAGAAAATTTTCGTACCACTTGCAAGCATTTATTATTGAAATATAGACCGACGAATAATAAAACAAATAAAAGATGTCCCCACTCACCACCATGTGAACATCAACCTACCCTACACCCAGATATCAATTTTGTTTAATATTTAATTTAATTATAAAATATTAATATAAGTAGGCATGAACTAAACCTTAGATGATTTGACCTTAATTTTTTTTTTTCTAGAACGAGTTAAACTTGAAACGAATTTGTTATATCTCTAAAGATGGTTTTCTTAAATTGTTATTTCTTCACTAGTTAAGGTTTTAAGATAGATCATTTAATTTGTCGGAGCTTCTAAAAAATTGATATCTTCTAAACACATAAAAGCAACTTGTAATATCAACCAAAAGTAAAAATAAAATATCAACAATTCAACATCAGCATCCACAGACCGTCAATTTCACCTGCAAGTAGTACCACAATACGAACCGTACGCGTCGATGATCTGGACCCTACATCGACCAAAAGCCAATAGCGACAAATTTCGGCAGTTTAAATTGACCGAAGCAGCCCAATACACAAACCGCTCTAAATCCACCATCTCACACCGACCATTCAAAGTATCTTCCTCTTCGGCTGTCCATTGCTTCGAGGTTTCATGGGGATTCAAGAAACTTACACGTTTAGTGCCTGGAAATGGCTAGGCTTCGTTTCTGCAGTGTGGGTGCAGACCATTTCGGGAAATAACTATACTTTTTCCAACTACTCCGATGCTATCAAGACGCTTATGAATCTTACCCAGCTTCAGCTTAACAATCTGTCTGTGGCTAAAGATGTTGGTAAGGCTTTTGGTCTGCTTGCTGGCCTTGCCTCTGATCGTTTGCCCACTCCGGTTATTCTCTTTATTGGTGCCGTTGAAGGCTTGATTGGTTATGGTGCTCAATGGCTCGTCGTTAGTCAGAAAATTCAACCCCTTTCTTACTGGCAGGTATAAGCTTTTTGTTTTTCTGCAAACAGTGGTAAAAACCTCAAGAATTCGCAATAAAAGTTTGAATTTACTGTTTACAGATGTGTATATTCATGTGCATGGGAGGCAATAGCACGACATGGATGAACACCGCCGTTTTAGTAACTTGCATCCGTAATTTTCGACGGAACCGCGGTCCGGTCTCCGGGATCTTAAAAGGGTATGTTGGTCTCAGCACCGCAATCTTCACCGACCTCTGTTCCGCCCTCTTCTCCGATGACCCTGCTAAATTCCTCATCATGCTCGCCGTCATTCCCTTCGCCGTTTGCCTCAGCGCGATCTTCTTCCTCCGTGAAATCCCGCAAACGACCTCCGTGGCTGCTGAGAAGGAAGAAACCCGCTATTTCGCAATATTCAACGCGGTTGCCGTCGTCGTCGCTGTTTATCTTTTAGTTTACGATCTGATCGGTTCATCCAATCAAGTAATTCGGCTCGTATTCGCGGTTATTCTTTTAATCTTATTAGCTAGTCCGCTGGCGGTTCCGCTGTATTCGTTTATAAAGAGTTGGAGCTTGGTCGGGTTCGAAGCCGACATGGAGCGACATGAACCGTTGCTGAAAGAAGAAACACCGTCAACGGCGGAGGAGAAAAAGGAAGTTCTCAGCAAACAAACTGAAGTGGCAGCTTCTGCTGCTGACACAGCGGTAGTGGAAAAGACTAGGCCGGTGATCGGAGAAGAACACACGATAACGGAGGCGATGCAGACATGGGACTTTTGGGTTTTGTTCGTATCGTTCCTTTGTGGTGTCGGAACAGGAATGGCGGTGATAAACAACATGGCCCAGATCGGTTTGGCTCTCGGCCACGCCGACGTTTCAATGTTCATTTCATTAACCAGTATTTGGGGCTTTTTCGGGCGGATCATTTCAGGCTCAGTTTCCGAGTACTTTCTCAAGTAAGCCTTATTTTTCTTGACGTAAACACTCAATTTTTCTTGATCGTTACGTTTTTCTGTTTTGATATTATTAGCATATTCCCCAACTTGATACACTTTATTATTTTTCAAATTCTTTGATTTGGTTGACATGGAAAACATCGAACATTGCATTTAGAGTTTGGTCAACCTTTTGCACTTGAATATTTTGTCCAAATATATAATTCTTTAATGGAGTTTGAACTACCTACAGGAAAGCTGGAACACCAAGGCCACTTTGGAATGCAGCATCTCAGGTCCTGATGGCAGTTGGGTTCCTTCTCATGGCATTGGCGGTGCCTGGTTGCCTTTACATTGGTTCGATTGTTGTCGGCCTCTGTTACGGCGTCCGTCTTGCTGTGACCGTCCCTGTTGCCTCGGAACTCTTTGGTCTCAAATACTACGGTCTTCTATACAACATTTTAATCCTCAACCTTCCCATAGGTTCTTTCCTCTTCTCTGGCCTGCTTGCAGGGTACCTATATGATGCACAGGCAATTCCGACACCAGGGGGTGGGAATACCTGTGTGGGAGCTCATTGTTATGGTCTTGTGTTCGTCGTAATGGCTATTGCCTCTGTTGTCGGATTTGGCTTGGATGTTTTGCTGGCAATTAGAACCAAGAACATTTATACCAAGATATTCAACAGTCGTAAATCGAAGAAATCATCGCCGGCCGGCAAATGACGGACAATTTGCAGCAAATGTAAGGCTGGGACGGTAGGATTGATGAGCATTTTTGCTCAGTGATATCCTATTCCTAGGTACACGAGTAGCTGGTTCATCATTCAGTGATTCAAGAACACTATATGTTTTCTTATATAATTTTCTTATATGTATTAATAGTGTCATGATGAGTTGTTCAAATTCTTCATAATCCTTTCACTGATCTATTGAAAGACTATTTTCATTTGTTGGTGTCAATTGTATTAGTTTGAGTCAATTTAATAGATAATGCAAAAATTGACTGATTTATTGTAATAAATGCTTGTATTAATAGATAGATTAAAGCCATTGGGCTACAAGCTGATGCTTTATCGACATTCAACAACGACTCAAGAATTGCAATAAAAGTTTAAACATAAATGAGAACGTCTGCAACAATCAACAGATTTCAGGGTTCTCCATTTCCATGGAGGAACCGAGGGAGAAGCATTCAATTTCATTTGACCTTAAGCATGTGAAAACGCCTGGTCCCAACATCATTTACGCGTGCAAAATTGTATCCCAAGAAAGAAGAAGCACCCCAAAATCACAATGCTCTGACCGACGATGGAGGACTAGTCTTTAATCCAAAGCAGGCATCACTGTCCACACCTATTTCCAAGTCATTTTCCATTAATTACCTTCTTCAATCCTTGTAGAAAACTATGCTCTGCAATCCTCCATTATCAACCAAAAACCTAACCCATCTCCAAATCTTAGACAAAAAAAAAAAAAACTGAATTTGGAATCTCAAAGCAACCCAAGTTATGGTAACACTAATGAAACGACAGGACACCGTCCACAGAGTTTCAGTTTGCAGACAAAAACCAGAGTTTGCATTGCAACCAACCAAATCTTAGATTAAAAAAAACAGTCTCGTCGTTTAGTTCGTAAGTCTTAACAACAATCCAAATCTTCATTAATGCAGAAGAGACTAAAGATTAGGCAAGGGGCAACCACTTTCTCACATTATATTACGTTGAGTCCAAGCCTGTATAACCACAAATGGTGATTTAGCAGCAAATACAAGTTAAAGCAATCTATTAATATAAGTTCACATAAAATGAAACCCTATTTTCCTTGTTTTTAGCAAGGCATGGGTGTGTTCATAGGCCTGTCACTGTTTCCTTGTGATCCCCACCACACAAGCTTTTAATTAACTACACTCCCCTCCCTCTTTCTCTACTACCTCTTTTGAAATTTTCATTGTTCTTTAGGTTTGCATTTAAGAGAACTAGTTTTTATATAATATAAGCTCTGGCATTTGTTCCATGGCAATGCTATTCCAAATATAAAGATTCTCCTGTTTTTAGTGGCTTCTGGGCTCTCTTCTTTCTTCTTAGTTCTTGTTCCTTGGCTGCTTCATATGGTTATCTCTCGCTTTCTACAATTGGTTTCACTGTTCAAATCATTCTAATGGAATTTTCTAAAGTGGGTTCTTTTTTCTTAATGTTGCTGCAGATGGCCCTTTATATGATTTCACTGCTTACAGTGAGGTAAACTGTGGATATGGTGAAATTGTTTGTTCAAAGAGACTATTATCTATTGGTTGTTTGTTGGTTTGCAATGTAAAGCACATCCAGAGGAACCCCTATACCAAGAAGGGATTCTCAAAGATGAGCCTCCAATTATGCGACCGAGCATTATCGGAGAAACTGCTACCGGTTTTTACACTCCTGCTTTTGTCTTGCAGAATCTCACGATAGGCAACGTTTACTGTTTCTCCAGTTAAGTTCTACACTTCAATTTCAAGTATGTTTATGTTATCAGATGAATATTGGTTACAAATATGTATTGAATGTGAAAATTAAACACGAACACTAGAAAATAATAGCCGACAACGTAGGTGAACAGGCATGTAAAACTGTAACATCCGTGCCCCATCAGGTGCCAATGTTTAAGGTTCGGATTTTTGGAACATACCCGACATGTTTTGGTGCATATCCTGTGAACTCTCAGCTTATTATGTTTTGGTGCATAGCAGCTTGGATCAAAATACAAGGTTCAAATTCAACTCTGATCAGGGCAAGCTTGAAGACAGAAAACAGAACATACGATTGCATAGGGACTGTTTTGGCTAAGGATGGATGTTGGTCGTTTCTCAAAGGCGGATTTGTTCTCAAATCGCCTTCGAAATTGTCTTTACTACTATTCCAGGTGAATCTGTACTCAAAACAATATATGTATAGGCTTTCAAAAGTTGAACATTTGCTCATGAATTATTTCATTTCTTTTGCTTCTAAGACCCTTTGCCCCCCTTATGTCTTGAATATGCAGAATTCAGATGGTAAAGACATTGATATAACGGTAGCTAGCTCATCGTTGCAACCATTTACCGACGAGGAATGCAGGATCAACCAGCAATACATTATTAACACTGTAGTTACAGTTTCAGAAACTTTTCTCGTACTTCATTTTCGATTCTTACTATCCTTATTTTCCTCTTTCCATTGGATTTTTCCAGCAAAGGAAGTGTGCAGTAACGATACATGTGTCAGACCAACAAGGAAATAGGTTGCTAGGAGCAGCATTAACTATAGAGCAAGTCTCAAAGGATTTTCCATTTGGTTCTGCAATTGCACACACCACATTCTTGGAAATTTGCCTTATCAGTTATCCACAGCAGACAGCTTACAATATGTGTTCGTATTTTTGTCTTCATATATGTCGGACAATGATACTTTATTCAGATAACATCGATAATTAATGATCTTCGACGATGCAGAAATGGTTTGTTGAACGATTTAATGCAGCAGTGTTCGAAAATAAACTGAAATGGTATGCAACAGAATCAGATCAAGGAAAAGCCAACTACACCACAGCCTACCATATGTGGGAGTTCGTTAGAGCTCACCAAATAATAACCAGGGGCCACAACATATTCTGGGAAGACCCCAAATGCACGCCAGCATGGTTCGGAACCTTACTGGCCCTGAGCTACAATCAGCGGTTAACTCCAGGATACAAAGCCTAATGAGCAAATACAAGGAGGAATTCATACACTGGGATGTCAGCAACGAGATGCTCCACTGGGATTTTTAAAAGCAACGACTCGGACCTGATGAAACCTTGCATTTCTACGAGACCGCACATCAAGCAGACCCTTTAGCAACCCTATTCATGAATGAATTCAATGTAGTGGAAACCTGCAGCGACGTTAAATCGACGGTCGACACATTCATTGAAAGGATAAGAGATCTCAAACGTCGTGGCATGTACATGGATGGAATCGGCTTGGAGAGTCATTTTACGGAACCGAACCGTCCTCTAATGCGAGCCGTGCTGGACAAGTTAGCTACACTAAGGCTCCCCATATGGCTAACAGAGGTAGATATAAGCAGCAGAGTTGGTAAAGAGTTGCAGGGTGTTTACCTGGAACAGGTATTGAGAGAAGGGTTTTCACATCCATCGGTGAATGGGATAATGCTTTGGACAGCTCTACATCCTAAAGGTTGTTACGAAATGTGTTTAACAGATGAAAATTTCAAGAATTTACCAGCTGGTGATGTGGTTGATAATGTATTGAAAGAATGGGAGACTGGGGGAGATTAAAGGGGTGACAGATGAGTATGGTTCATATAGCTTTTATGGATTCATAGGTGAATATAAGGTGAATGCTGGTTGTGGAAACAGGACAGTGGAATCTACTTTCTCACTCAGCCGTAGTGATGAAACTAAACACTTTACCATTCATTTGTAACGCTACAAGGCAAATAGTCAGACTACAAGGCACATCTTTACTGAAGATTTCAACAATGGTATTTCGTATTTGTTTGTTTTCTGACAAATAAATGGTTAGTATCCCTTAAATCAGCAAGTCACTGGAACACAAGTTCTGAGATAGTATTTATTTAAAATATTTTTTAATTATTTAAATTGTTTAATCTGTATTGTAAGATGACAGTATATGTAATAATTGTTCTAGCTAAGATGGTCAAAAAGTGAGTTGATGGGGATCAAAATTTGCGACTACCTTTTCAGAACTGGCTCATACCGATACAACAAAAGGTCATCCATTTGCCAAAATGTTCAAAGGAAATTAGTCCCACTTTATTCTTACTTTATCAAGGCCCCATTTTATTATTTACTCGTACTGCTCTTGAGTTCTCAACTAACGTTTGAATATAATTTACAACCCCAATACTACAACAACAACAAAAACAAAATTATATTCTCATATGTAATGGGATAAAGGGAGGTAGGGTAGTAGGCTGCCCCCAACGCCAGGTTGAGAGCAGTTTCCGTGGAAGACCTCCGGCAATCAGAAAATTAAAAATAAAGATAAAATGCAATGCATGTATAAATTAAATAAATAAATACATAGTTGAACATTTTTCATATGCAGTCTTCATATGCGCGTCTGTAATGGGGAGTAATCCCTGCAAATAAATCCCTGCGTACAAATCTCTGCATATAGACAGAAACGTAAGAACTGGCTAAATTTTAAAAAAAGAAACCTGAAAAGAAGTATACACATGAGTCAACGATAGCAAGCTACAAGAAGGAATAAAGTCAAATGGGTTAAAACCTAAATTAAAGCAACACCACTTCGCTACCTTAGTTCTAAGCGTTCATAAAATCCAATGAAAGAAACTTAAAATTTAGAAGTCATGAGAATTACTACAAAGGCATTAAAAAGAGGACAGAGAAGTTACACCGTATGACTGTGACCCGCAACTACTTGGCTACCCTGGTCTTAAGTCTCCATACTTTCCTATCAGAGGTCATGTCCTCGGTAAGGGCTAAATCCTTCAAATCAGATCTCAAGCAGTCTTCCCACTTCTGTCTTGGTCGTCCCCTCCTTCTGGCACCGTCGACTGTAATTGACTCTACCCTCCTGATCACTTCCGACAGTTTTCACCTAAGGACATGCCCAAACCACCGTAGTCTTCCCTCCCTCAATTTTTCGAATACAGGAACCACCCCAAGGACCTCCTAGTAGCAGAGTTTGGTGTCATATCCGACAGAGTCCTACCACATGCCCATCGAAGCATTCTCATTTCTGCAGCCTCTATCCTCCTTACGTGATCCTTCTTGATTGCCCAACATTCTGATCCATACAGCAGCGCTGGTCTTATTGACATTCTATAAAATTTTCCCTTAAGTTTTAGAGGTACCTTCTTCTCACACAAAACTCCAGTAGCAGCCCTCCACTTTAGCCATCCCGCCTTTATACGGTGTGTAACGTCATCATCTACACCCCCATCTTTATGTATCATAGACCCTAGGTACTTGAAACAATCCTTTGAGGAGAGAACGTGTCCTTCTATGCATACTTCTACATCTTCATCGTTTTGGTTCCCACTGAAGTTTGAACATAAATACTTTGTCTTTTCAATATTGATCCTTAGACCTTTGTCTTCCAAAGCAATCTTCCAGGTAGCCAGTCTACTATTCAGCTCAGTTTTTGTTTCAGCAACTAGGACAATGTCGTCAGCGAAAAGCATACACCATGGAACACCGTCTGGTGTCGCACAATAGATGTCGTCTATAATCAAGGCGAAGGTGTAAGGGCTAAGAGTCGACCCCTGGTGGAGTCCTATTTCCACCGGGAATGCCTCGGTGTCACCAGTTGTAGTCCTGACGTATGTAGTAGATCTACAATACCTATCACGAATCTCCCGGATATAAGAAGTTGGGATCCGTCTCTTTTCCAAGGTCTTCCAGATCGTATCGCGGGGAACGCTATCATACACCTTCTCAAGGTCAATGAACGCCATGTGAAGATCTCTATTTTTTCCCCTATATTTCTCCATAAGCCGTCGAAGTAGATGAATCGCCTCCGTAGTAGACCTGCCTGGCATAAAGCCAAATTGGTTTTCCGAAACCCTAGTAACCTGTCTCAACCTAGCCTCTATCACCCTTTCCCATAGTTTCATGGTATGACTGAGTAGTTTAATACCTCTATAGTTGCCACAACGTTGGGGATCTCCTTTATTCTTATATATTGGTATCACCGTAGACTCTCTCCACTCCTCTTACATCTTTGCAGTCTCTAAAATAATATTAAAGATGTTGGTCAACCACTTAACACCCTCTTCTACTGGGGCTAACCACACAGTGATAGGAATTTGATCTGGACCGACAGATTTGTCCCTCCCAATCTTTCTTAGGGCCATTTTGACTTCCTCAAACCCAATCCTACTTGTAGGGCAGTCATTTGTCGTAGTATGATGGTCGATTGAGCCATCAACGATACTATCTCTACAGGGAGAGGCACCATCATTAAATAAACCAAAGAAATAACTACCCCAAACCCTTTTAATATCATGATCTTTCATTAAAAGAACACCATTGTTATCCTTAATAAACCTAATGCTACATAGATCATTTTTCCTATTTTCCCTGGATTTTGCAAGCCTGAAGATGTCATTTTGTCCTTCCTTGGTGTCTAATCTCTTGTACATTTCCTCGTATGCCTTATTCTTTGCTTTAGCCACTATTTTATTGGCTTCCCGCTTTGCCTCCTTGTATCTTTGCTTAGCTCTCGATCTTTCTTCGACGTCATTGCATTGTAGAAACTCCTTGAAGCAAGTTTGCTTTGTCTTCACCTTAGTTTGGTCTTCGTCGTTCCACCACCACGATTCTTTATGTTTCTTGACCTTCCCTGACGACAACCCAAGGGTGTTTTTGCCCACCTCCCTCCCTGAGGGTATTTTCCATATTTTTCCATAACATATCTGCATTGTTTGAGTTTGTAGTTCCAAAACCTGTAATAGATAAAACCTTACTCCTAAAGTCATCAGCTATCGATCCATGTAAGTTATTCCAAAGGATCCTAGGTTTACCAAGTTTAGCCCTCCTATGAGTGCTCCGCCTGTGGCAAACACGGAACATCAAAACCAACAATCTGTGTTGGGATGCACATGCCTCTTCCGGAAACACCTTACAGTCAATGCAAGCCCATCGATCCCGATTTCGAACCAGGATGTAGTCAATTTGGGTACAATGTCCCCCACTATGGAACGTAATCAAGTTCACATCTCTCTTGTTAAAGAAGGAGTTACTTACTACCATATCGTGTGCAGTAGCAAATTCAAGCAACGTACGCCCCTCCTCGTTCCTACTACCAAAACGAAACCCCCATGAACATCGTTATACCCATCGGTTGCACTACCTATATGGCCATTGAAGTCTCCCCCTATGAAAACTCTTTGGTCCTCTGGAATGCTCCTAAGTACATCATCTAACTGATCCCAAAAGCAACGTTTCTCCCTTTCCCCTAGGCCAACGTGTGGAGCGTACACTGAAAAGACATTCACCACTTCCGCTTCTATAATAACCTTAATCATCATGATCCTATTTTATGACTAAATAGGCTTCAAAAATCTATTAATATTAGGGTAAAACATACAAATTGGTATTTAATTGTAGAATATTGTTTTATTAAATCTCTCAACTGTTAAAAGTTATAAATACTCATATTATTATTAGGTGATGTTTTGTTGAGATTTTGATTATTAAAAACTTATAAAATAATCACCCGAGTATTCGTATAAAAATGACAAGATTAAAATATATGAATAGTTGAATGATTATTTTATAAATTTTAATAATCAATAGACCCAATAAAACAATAGACTATTTTATAAATTTTAATAATAAAAAACTCAAGAAAAATAATAACTTATAATCGGGTTTATTTACCCTTAATACTAATGGTAAAACGAACATGAAATAAATTTTAAAATATCCAATCCTCCATGGCAGGCAAAGGCGAAAAGCTGAGCTAGAAAACTTGGGACATCCTTCACACACAACGTAGCCAAAATCCTCCTCAAATTTTCACATTACAAACAGATTTCATCTTCTCTTCACAATCCAATTTGCGAAAAGAAACAAATGCTGGAAAAAAGCAAAGCTAACATAACACATTGACACATTATGTTACACAAAAATCAAGCAGTTCATCTGCTTTAACTTCAAAATTCCCAGAATGTTAAGAGAGAACACTTTCAAATGTGTAAAGAAATCATCTTTAACAACCCCATAATACAGAAATAGAGAGAAAGGGCTACAAGTAAACAGATGAAAATATGACTGGAACAGCTGTTGATGCCATGACTGCTGCAAATGGTAGAAAACTGGGAGAGGCTGTTGTTCTTGGTGAATCTCCCATTGCCAAACCAGCTAACCATGACCCATCTGTCATCAAGGTTTGTCCTGATCCTGACCCAGAGCTTGAACCAGATCCAGGATATCCATAACCCGAATATCCATATCCATTACCCGAGTATGTTAACCCAGGTTCTGTACCTGATCCTGTCATAGCTGGAGTAGAATCTCGAGAAGATTTTTGACTGCAACAAAATCCCACATCCTTTTAAAAAAAACATATTACTTGGTAATTTCAGTTCAATAACTATAATCTTGATTGTTACCTCGGAGAAGAGGGACAAAAAGTGACCGTATAATCTGCTCCGGTACACGTGAATTTGCTCGTAGCATCATCATATGCATAGCTGTAAGATCTGGGACAAGCGGCCTTGAACATCTCGGAATAAACTGAAGGCTTACATGTCGCGGGTGTGCTATACACGCCGCTGCAACAGTACTCGGGACTCCCGAATGCTTCACACGCGCTCTTGCAAGCCTCACCGTCCCCGACCTGGAGCTCCGACGGACATTGACGGTTCAAGTCGGTTGTACACCCGGTGGAAGCACAAAGACCTGACCCGCCAGTGCCTTCCACTATCATGGGGATATTGTAGCCATCGACAAGGCTGACGTCGTAAAAATCTTGCCCTGCTGTTCCAAGAGTGATCTCAGCAAGAGTTACGGGCGGAGCAGCTCCGAGTCCGTTGCATTCCGTCCGACCGGACCCACAGTCGCCTGTCACGCAGGTGCCAGAACCGGATCCGTCAAATTTGCAGCCTGTACGACCCCAGAAACGACCCGACCAGCCTGTTGGAGCTTGAAAGGAACGAGAGGAGTCTTTTGGTAGCTCGAATCCGGTGCTGTCGAGTGGAGGACTGCCTGCATTTGCTAATATCCCAGGCCACACAGTGTAGCTACACCGGTTGACAAATGTGAAAGAAGCACCGAATACACCTGAAAAACAAAGCAACAAAAAATATGGGGTTTCAGTGTAAATATTGAAAGCTATGACGCAGAAAACGTGAATGTGTAAGAAACCCAGAAAAAGATGGAGTTGGGTTTAACCTTTTGAGTTGAGTGAGAAGACAATGAGATAGAGAATAAGAGCCGAGGAGCTAATGGAGTGAAGATCCATGAGGTTTTCTTTTGCTGCTGCTTCTTCCTATAATTTCTTTGAAGTTTCTATTTGTTCAGCTTCTAAGATTTGCAGAGCAGAATGGTGGAGTAATGGCGTATTAGTTTAATATGCGCCCCAGACTCCACGAGAGAATGGAGTTAACGAGGGTATTGTGGTGAAGATAGTGAAAGGTTGATGTTCAATCCCACACAAGTGTTAGTGAGAACGACACTAAGAAAGTGATGAACATCGCAAGTCTACTGTAATATAATACCATTCCTACATAATCTTGGTTTTCTTTAATAATTATCTCCGTTTCTTTTCTAATATCCCGTTTCCGTCCCCGTTTTCACCTTATAACCTTTCTTAACATTTTTTTTCTTGTGTAAAATTCAATTGACGTATTACCGTACAATTTAGACCATCGATATTTTTTTAATGAAATAAAATAAGTTTAGAACATATGAATAATCAGATGATCTTTTTGTAATTTTTAATAATTAAAAAACTCAATAAAATATCATCTTACAGTCGTATGATTATTTAGTAACTTTTAATAGTTAAAAAACTTAACAAAACAGTACTATACAATTGATGATCATTTATATAATTTACCCAATTTTAAATCCGTCACTATCCCGGATTCAGTGACTGTATTGGTTATAGATAAATTCAATTTTACTTTTACATTCTTTGAAAAGAAACCACTAGTCCTTCATTCCAGGTTTTGATAATTGGTGGGTGGACATTTAGAAATAGGGCTGAACAGGATTACTTAACCATATCTAATTATTATTTATAATCGTTACGATGCAGTAAAGAAGAATCTCTGGGCTCGATGTTTATGATAAAAGAAACCGGAAACAAACTTCCCAGTTTCCATGTAAATGCTATTACTAACAATAATGTTGGATAAAAAACAAGTTCCTTCAAAGTGGAGGATAAAATATTAGATATGTTTATATATTCAACACGACATATTTTTTTATGAGAAATCATTTGATACACACATTTTATCAAATTTAAATTATATATATATATATATATTTGAAGAAAACATGATAGATTTTATAAAGCAGGAAAGTTTCACCAAAGCATAAAACAGGAAACAGGAAACACGAAGCATATTTCACCGGATGCTATATAGTAGGAGGAATTAATTCAGAATTTTTATTTTAGACTTGCTACAACTCAATTGTTTCTTTGGAACGAGAGTTCAATAAATTTCAGATGATTTGATATTCCATTCCATAAAAACAAGTACGTGACTGATATGTTGACCATTTAGTGATGTTTAGTACGTATATCTTTCTGTCTAACATGGATTATCAGTATATGAATAACTCGTACGATACTCATTAAAGAGTTGTTAAGCGAATATCTGAATGATACTCTAATTTGTTATGCTGGTGCTAACCTTGGCAGCTGGAGATGAATGTTCTACTATCGGATATTGTGTTAATCTTGGAGAAAACTCATTTGCTTAGGAATAACATCAACAATATATATTATTAATATCACTTTAACAATCAACATGTCCCAACACCGGCTTTTCTATTCTAAGAAACTTTCTTCATCAAACCAAAAGAGAAATTCGAGATACTATAATACTATGCACATGTTCATTTGACAGTAAAAAATATAAACCCTTACTGTATCAGTATCGACAAAATAAGTTTGGTGAGATAGCCGTGTACGATATCTGTGTAGCAGACATGAAATCCTGCTATCCGTAGGCAATCATCGACAATTTTACGTTGCCGGCCATTTTAATCCGGCAATACAACGTTGGGTGAGGCAGAGAATTACTCCCTTCGGTTCAGCTAGTCGTTGCTACTACTTGCCTGGAAGTGCCCAGGCCAATGTTAGTCACAAAGGTAATATATGTTGCCAAAAGAGGAAAAGAGCCATAGCAAAAGAGGCTGCAGAGACAGTAAATTGCACTCGGAGCAGACCTGATAATGAAGCCCCATTGGCATGCACGCTTGATATGTATATCATACTCTTATTTACAAGTGGTAGCATCGCTCCGTCTTTCCGAGCACCGAACAACTTTTGGCTGCAGATTACCCATCAAACACAAATGAATACATTTTTCAGCAGACATTTCTACACAAGAATAATGTAGAGTTCGAGATGAGAATGATTTAGCCTACATTCCATCATACGTTCACATATGCTCCTTCTGAAATTGCACATGAATTACAACTAGCTAACTTTCTAATAAACCTAATCTCGGTTTTCCGAACCATCATACGTTTTTTCTGGTTTTGGATGAATTATTACACCTCTAATGCTGCCAATCTGCAGCAAATCTACCGTGAATAATCAGAGTAAAGTTCAAAGGTTCAACCAAACTACCGAAGCACCCACCATTCGACTTAAGCTTGACTAAAGTTCTCAACTTTCTATCCATGGAAGTATCATTAAGTTTGACTCAAGTTACCAACATTCGCCAGACGTAGTTATTCGAATTCAAACACTATTAACTATGGATTTGATTTGGGATAATAGAATTATTTACCTGGTATAAGGAGGTGGACAGAAAATGATGACATAATCAGCTTCGGCACACGTGTACGTGCTCGTGGTATCGTCGTACGCATAGCTATACGAGCGCGGGCAAGCACGCTTGAAAAACAACGAGTAGTATGTGGACGGCCGACAAACGTCTGGCGTTCCGAACGCCCCGCTGCAACAGTATCGGGGGTCTCCGAACGCTTCACACGCGCTCCTACACCCAACGCCTCCACCATCTTTACGCGCCACGCGCAACTCCGATGGACAAGCGCCGTTGAGGTCCAATAAGCAACCCGTGGCGCTACAGTTCCCGCCTTTACCTCCCTTGGCCACGATCAACATCGGCAGATTGTAGCCGTCGACTAAGCTGACGTCGTAAAAGTCTAGTCCTCCGGCACCGTTTAATGTGAATTCCGCGAGAGTGGCTGGCGGCTTGGCGCCACTCCCGGAACATTCAATTTGACCGGAGCCGCAATCGCCGCTTAGACAAACGAATTTATGGGAGGAGTCGAGGCCGCAAAGAGCTCGACCCCATAGTCGACCGGACCAAGACCTGGGTATTGTTATTGTTCTTGATTTGCCGGGATTAAGAAGGAAGCCGGTTGTGGGAAGTTGAGGCGTGTGTTGGCGCCAGATAAAAGACCAGGCCATATCTTGTGACGGCACTTGTTGACGATCTTGAAAGAAGCTGGATTCACTTCTGCGATTGAAAACAAAGAAAGGGTGAGTGTCAGATATTGCAGATAACACAAAAAGTAAAAGTATTGGCAAAGGAAAATTTGAGTCTTTGAAGGTTTTATATTACCTGAGAAGAAAGAGAGGCAGAGGAGACAAACAAAGGTAGAAGAGAGATGACGACGGTCCATTATTGAAGACATAAAGATTGGAATTGAAAGACTGAAGTTAAAGAATTGGGAAAAAAAAAACTAAGAACTTTACTCTTCTTGTCGGACATAGTGACCATGCATAAGTTATTTATTAATTTTTTTTATGAGTGGATTTTTTAATTAATACGAGATAAATATAAAATGATATATATTTAAAATATATTTTTTATTTAATAATACACTTATATATCTATATAAATGTTATGTTTGAATTTGAGATTTCAAAAAATAATAATTATTACAAAAATGTGATTGTGAGGTATTTTTGCCTTTTGGTTTTGGGTTATTTTATTAAACACTCAAGTTTTGTCTTTGTTTTGAGCATTTTCAAGTTCCTTTCTTTTCAAGCAAAATAAGAACTGTAATTATCCAAAAAAATAAATAAATTAAGAACTGTATTTTGTAGGCCTTCTTTCTGCTAATTTTTATATTGGAAGCTTTGATATAATCTGGTTTGTGATTGATTGAACTTAAAACTTGAATGCCTGCCTTTGTTCAAATAAACTAGCAAGCAAACCCTGTCCTTGATTGGAATGCTCATTTGGGTGGTAAAATTTAAGTGCCCTGTTTTGCCAAATAATGCTTAAAGTAACCCCGTTTGTGCATTATAGATATGTCTAGAGATCCCCATATGCCACCTGAAGTTGCATGTAAAGGCACAAAAGTTGTAATAACTTGAAGCTTAAGCATACATATAAACTCGGAGATCTCTAAAGTGAAAGCACAATATGGTAAATTATGGGGTAAAAATTGTATCAAATCTTCAACTGGAAATGTTGATGCACTCACAAATAGAAGCGCATCTGCAACAAAAGAACTATAATACACACAAATGGGAGGTGAGCTGATTGTTTCTAATCTGTTTCAGTTTTACTTGTCACGATGCTTGCCATAGAGACCTCAACCAAATCAAACGCCGAGGCCCTTTGATCGTCATGAATGCAATTGCATTTTTATCGTCTTTGAGAACGTTGACAGACTTTGTAAACTCAGCATCATCCAGTTCTTCTAAATGCTGCAACTCTTCCAGGCACTTCTGATATAATGTTCTCTCATTTGATGCATCTCTTCGTAAAGCTCTCAACTTGATAGCTGAAAACATCTCGTACATGGCCTTCTCGATCGTCTCGCTGGCATCGCAGCATACCCCTTTCTTATGAGCTGAATCTCTTGGAGGAACGGACTTTCGTTTCTTTGGTAGTTTGTCACTTATTCGAATTATCGAATCGGAATCGAGGGTGCCCTCAACTACTTGTGCAGGTACATTAGTTGGCTCTGAAGATCGAGCCGTCTCGGTGTTGCTATTTCCCTCTTCAGTTACCACTGGAACTGCGTTGGGAACGCATTTGCCGGTAGCTCTTTCACCTGCACCACATGTAAAAGAAAGCATTTAAACAAAGTAAGCGAGCTGGTGCACTCCACATTTACAATCATAGTATTAAATTACGTTATGACGTTCTCTATATTAGTACTATGTTTACAAAGCAACAAGATATTTTTACCTTCAAATATGATTGACATTTGTTTATACAGAGGAAAGCTCTTGCGGCGGAAGGGTCTTGCTTCACATCGTGCCGCAATATAGTTGTCCCAAACTCTGTCATCAGCTACAACCATTCGTCGAGTTTCATCCCAGCCGAATCCATCATATCCGAGTAGGGTTTTAACAACCCCGTAATCTTTCTTCATCACGTTGTAACGGTTTTTTATCTGGTTTTCTTCTAGATTCATGCCAAACTTCTTGTTGAAATCACGCGTAACAGATCGAATAACTTCGTTCTTGAATTCATTATAGGCCGTTCGCCCACAGTTGTGCTGTTCGATGAAAAGATCGACCAGAAATGCATCCCGTGACGGTGTCCATTCAGCTTTGGCTCTACATAGCGCTCCTTCCTGCGTTGTAGACATCTGCGTTGTAGAAACAACATAATCAATAGACTCATAGAAGTAAGCTGTTATACTGAGGTATGACAACCCAGAAATGGGAATTCAGAAACGTTAAACATGCAGAGGAGAAAAGAAAAAAGGAAGGATATTTTTCTTGGCACATTTTCTAAGGAAACAAACAGATAATCATGGTTGGTATCTTTTTACAGTACCTTTGTTGCAACTATTCAGCGACAAAGGGAAACGGAGAGTGGAAAACAGAAAAGATTAAACGAGCTGTTGCAGAGCAAAATGTGATGCGGTGGACTATACTTATAAATGGTAATCTAGCTTAATCATTCAATCATTAATCGCCACGTCAGATATTGCTGTTATTCGGTTGTGCTAATTAACTGATCTTAGCCGTTAAAATGTTTGACTCGTGTTCTTGACTTTATGTCTTAGTTTGCAATGCGATACCAACTCAAACTGCAAATTAAAAAATTCATAACCCTTTTATCTATCTATATATATATATATATATATATTTAAGTGAAATAAGACGTGAGGTCTTAGGTAGCACAATATTTATAGTAACATTTGAGTATTTATTATTAAATTATCATAATTCTTTTGAATAAATATTATCTAGTAATTATCTTGGATTAATAAAAAAATTAAACAAAATGTTAACCCTATGCACAATCAAATTTGGGCTTCTATACGTCCAACATGTAAAATTTTTAAGCTCGACTCAAGCTCGAAATCAAAAAATAAAGCTCGAAATCAAAAAATAAAGCTCAACATAAGTTTGAAAAAACTTAAACTCGAAATATTATTATACTTAACTCGATTGAAGCTCGTGAATTTTTCGAGTCGGATATCAAATAGTTTGTCCCGGATCATTAAGAACTCGAATTAAGTCGATGATTCTAATATTGACCGAACTTTGATTATGTCGAATTCGAATAATTTACAATTATCTCGTCTTATTTAACTCTAGTGGGATCCTCTTGCTAAGCAGTAAGCAGGGGTCAATTCAAATCGCCAATAAACACCAAAAAGAAGTTATTGAAATACTCTTGTTGAGCTTTGAAATCCCCCAAATGCAGCTTTTATTTGTACTGTAAAGCAGAAAAGCAGAATTAAATGACAAATATTCTCTCGGTATAAGATTCTTTTACTCCCACAATTTGCTTCCAAAATGGAAGCCAATAAAGCAAAAGCCATCATCATATTGTTTCTTCCTCAAAGTCGCTTTCAAAACCAATTATTTTCTGCAGGGTGTCTGAGTCAAAAACAAATGGAGTTGACTCACTAATCCCATCTGTTTTGCTTTGCAATGCCACCAACTCAATGCAGGTTTCCAAAGGAAAACGAGTGCTCGACTCACTTGCGAGCCTTCATCATTTATGAACAAAAACCATAATTAATGTTTGTCATGAAAAAGTTAAAACTTTGAGGGTAAAATGATTGATCATTTTAGGTTTGACTTAGGATTTATAGTGTTGGCATTCAACCGGCGTGCTGAAGTTAAACTTCATGCTGCAGCATCAATGGGGTTTGGCTTTTTGTTTTGTTTAGTGTTCATCATTAGGATGACATGAAATTACACTGTTTTCACTTTTGTTAATCAGAATTATCACAAATGATTCTACTTTTTTCTGTCTTATGGCCCGATCACCCGATCACCTCCACCATGTAGAGCACACCCAGAAGACAAAATTCATCACAAATGGCATGCATTGTCTCAAGTCTCAAAACTTACTCGATTGAAGGCGGGGTAGGCGACAGTCGCCGTCCAGTGATGATTGAGGAAAACACAGTGATCATGTCGTCAAAGCCTTGTTCAAACGACTAGTTTACATGATATCACTGGATTGTCTGACTATTACATGTCTAAATAATGCATGAAGAAAAAGGAGGAAGCAATATGGTCAAAGGAGACAGGGTTGCAGACAGAATGCTTTGAGCTTGAGGTCCCAGTGGCTGTGAACAAAGCATGTGTTGGATTGTCCCTGCAAAGAAATGCTTTTGGGTAGTTATGTTGTGCGACTAAATAATTTAAAGTTAATTAGTGGCATCTGTACAAATATAATTATCAAACAATTGAGATTAAACACTCACTACCACTAATATTCCTAGTGTTCCTGAGACCTCAAGAAATATCAAAAACTTTTTTACCACCGATGTGGCTGGGTTCATGCTCATGTTTAATTTAAAATGTTATACAATTTATAACATTTTCATCTACATTGCGGTAGGTTTAGGATTTACAACAAAAAAATTATATAATTTATAATAATTTCAGTTACAACTGAAAATATTAAAAAGAAGATAATATTTTTGGTTTTAACTTAAAATGTTACCGTCATTCAACACCATGTTGATGGGTTTTTGTTTTTCTATGGTTAATAGCATTAATTTTCACACGTAGTTTTATTAGCAAGCACTAAAATTTATTCAAGTCAATATATGTTTTAGCATCTAAACTTAATCTCAAAGATTCATTTTATATTAGGATATATTTAAGATTTTATGTTAGAATATTAATTTATAAAATTTTAAGTACGAGAATAAATTATTAATTGAATGTTTGTATGGCTCTACCCATATCTGCAAATTACTGCATAGTATAATACTAAAAAATTACAAGTGCATTGGGAAGATATTAATCACAATTAATTAAAAAATAAGTCTCCCATTTCCAAGAGCACATGAAACAGGATCTAACAAGGTCTCCAATGGATTTTCCCACTACACTTCATTTATATGTCCTTAGTGCATCTTGCACCTAATCCATAAAAACAGGTTAAATAGTGATTTTGGTGCCTTTGTTATACTTAAATTTGGATTTAGTCCCCATGCTTTATCTTTATATGATTCAGTAAAAAACAACGTAAAAGAAAGAGAATAAATTAAATTAAAAAAAAATCAAATTTGAGTAATGAATCCATGTGATATAGTTAGATCCATGTAATGTATTGTGTGAGAAAATTTAATAAGTTCCATGTGTATTATATTGGGTTATATATATATAAATGGCTTCCTCTCCCATGTAGGGTTTTGGGAAAAAAAATTCTCATATAGGACTCTAACCAAATTATTTCTTGAACTGGGGTGTTTGTTACAGTGACCTCATTGGTCGCCAAGTACTTCTTGCGACAAAGCCTCATCTGTTGTAGCAATTCTTCTCTTTTCCCTCATATTGCAGTTACATAGGTCGTTAAGTGTTCCATAGGTCGTCATGTGCTCTTGGAGACCTATAGAGATCGTCGTGTGCTCCTGGAGACCTATGATGATCACTGTAGCAATTATCTTACTTAAGCAAATAATTGTTTGACTGCACTATATAAAGAATTTTTTTTCCATTGCATTATTCAACCACTTTTACCATATATAAATAGATAGATATATAATGAAATATTTTATATAATATCTCAAGAAATTTAGCAGAATAATAAGAAGCATTACATGTGAAAGGGGGTTTGGGGTTTAGAGGGAGAGGCAATGGCTATGTGATAAAAGCACCTTTCATCTTCATGTAAAGCCACCACGCCCCTTTGGGTGCAATCATTCCCTCTACTTTCTTATTTTAACTCATAATAGCCTTACTCTCCACAAATGCTTCACATTTTACCTTTAGCACGAACTAAACCATTTTAATGGTTGAAGAGATAAATATTATTTTTAGAATTTTTGAATTTGAATATGGTATTTATATAAATGTTAAAATGTTTATTTTTAAATTATTGAAAATCTTCGATACTTCTTAATAATCACCTTATATTAATAAAATAATATATTAAAAATGTGTACACAAATGCTTTTAGCCGTCATAATATATGTCATCAGTAGAGTTTGTTTGCAAGTTCAATTGAGTAATTTTTAAGATTAATGTTTTATCAAATATATCCTCTACACAGTATTATTAATATGCAAAGCTTTAGCTTTTAAGCTCTAAAAAGTGCAAACTTCACTCTCTAACATACCTTTCAAGCACAGCTTTTCTTTTCTTTTTTCCCCCACCCCACTAAATACCTTGAACTGTATCCATATATATATACCCTCTATATCTCTACTATTTCTTCATCACCTTCACTTCACTTACCCTTTTCTTACATTGAGATAACACTACCCAGTTTGTCATTAGAGAGACAAAGCTGTAGCGAAAGTAAAAACAGAACTGAAGAGTGTGAGGATAGGAGAAAAGAGATAATGGCAGGTGCCAGTGATAAGGTGGTGGAGACTGTGATTGTTGGGAATTATGCGGAGATGGAAACCGAAGGGGAGCCTAAGGGCATCAAAAGCAAGGTTTCTAAGCTCTTTTGGCATGGTGGTTCTGTTTATGATGCTTGGTTTAGCTGTGCTTCTAATCAGGTTTTGCTGCCATCTATTTTTCCCTTTTTTGCTTTTTGCCATTTTGTGTTGTTAATTTTTTATACTGATAGAGATTTTTTTTGGGTTTCAGGTAGCTCAAGTGCTGCTTACATTGCCATACTCATTTTCTCAACTGGGGATGCTTTCTGGGATTCTCTTTCAGTTGTTCTATGGATTGATGGGTAGCTGGACAGCTTATCTCATTAGCATACTCTATGTAGAGTACAGAACCAGAAAAGAAAGAGAAAAAGTTGATTTCAGGAACCATGTCATTCAGGTTTGTTTTTAACTTCTTTACAAAAAAAAAAATTACACCTTCAAATATATGATGAAATGACACTGAGGATCACTATATATTTTTTTAAAAAACTATGAAGTGGTTTGAGGTTCTTGATGGTCTCCTTGGCAAACACTGGAGGAACGTGGGTTTGGCATTTAACTGCACTTTTCTTCTGTTTGGATCTGTCATTCAACTCATAGCTTGTGCAAGGTACCTACTTAGCTACTCATTTATGATTCTTTTGCTTTTATCTCTATCCAAATATAAAATTATCTCTATATATATATATATATATATATATATATATATATATATATATATATATATATATATAGAGAGAGAGAGAGAGAGAGAGGAATCATCATGCATGCACTCTGACAATGAATTCCCTGATGTTGGGTATCTTTTGTTTTGTTATCACAGCAACATATATTACATAAATGATAATCTGGACAAGAGGACATGGACTTACATCTTTGGTGCCTGTTGTGCCACCACAGTCTTTATCCCTTCGTTTCACAATTACAGAATCTGGTCCTTTCTTGGCCTTATAATGACCACCTACACAGCTTGGTATCTCACCGTTGCCTCCCTCCTCCATGGCCAGGTAAAAGCAAAACACACTTGACATTATTTTTGTTATTCAACTTGTTGAACATGTTGGGTTCAAATTTTCAGTCAAAAAGGAATCCTTGTTGTCCCCTCCCATTGCTTGAAAAGAAAGAAAACTGCAACTTGATGAGTTATTTTAACTAAACATATTATTAATAATATTAGGTTGATGGAGTTCAACATTCTGGTCCTACCAAGCTGGTGCTGTATTTCACAGGTGCCACCAACATTCTCTATACGTTCGGGGGACATGCTGTCACTGTGTAAGAAAAAATTATGTTTAGAATACTTGTCTCTTACGTTATATACAAATCTGCCCATGTTTATCAACTCAATAAATTGTGTTATTAAAACATTTTCTGAGAATTATAAATGCATGTAAAAACAGTTCTGAAAACAACCAGATCTTCACTTGTTTAGACATGATCTAACATTGGAGAACTCATGGGTAATGATCAATCCTTATTACTAATAGAATATAGTGATTTCCTAAATTGCCCTTTGTAAGCGTGGCAGGCAAAAAGTTGTTTTCTTCTTGGGAACCCTAGTATTCCTTTTCAATGTAGAAAGCCAATGATCTTTTTCTCTTTTTACTTTCACTTTTATCATTGAGAATATGCCAAGATATGAAGGTTGGGTTGGTGGGGGGTCCAGCTTTGTTCAGTGAATCAAAGGCACCCCACAGGCAGAAGGAAAAGGCCCTTAAAGTTCATGGAGCTGAACTTTTTAAGACCATAAACCCAAAATTAATCAACCTGGAGCTGGCCTTTTTTCAGGCCCCTGATGTACCTAGACTTTAGATGCTATAGCAGTAACATGAATTAATTTGCTAATTAATATGCAGGGAGATCATGCATGCTATGTGGAAACCTCAAAAGTTCAAGGCTATATACCTGATAGCAACTGTGTATGTGCTGACACTGACACTTCCCTCAGCTGCTGCTGTTTATTGGGCATTTGGAGACATGCTTCTCGATCACTCAAATGCCTTTTCTCTTCTCCCGAGAACTCACTTCAGAGACATGGCTATCATTTTAATGCTCATCCATCAGGCATGCCTATGAAATTCCATTTATCAGATCCCTCCATACATAGATAACAAAATAGAACACATAACAATGTCCATTCTTTCAGTACATCCATATCACTCATATATATATCATCATCATATTGCACTAACAAGTAATGTTCATTATTTTGGTGTGGTATTGTGCAGTTCATTACGTTTGGATTTGCATGCACGCCGCTGTATTTTGTATGGGAGAAAGCAATAGGGATGCATGAGTGCAAGAGCCTGTGCAAGAGAGCAGCAGCAAGATTGCCAGTGGTTGTCCCCATTTGGTTCTTGGCTATTATCTTCCCTTTCTTTGGACCAATAAACTCCACCGTCGGATCCCTCCTCGTTAGCTTCACCGTCTACATAATTCCGGCACTGGCTCACATTTTCACCTTCCGATCAGCCACTGCTCGAGAGGTATTAAATCCAAAACCCTGAACCTCAAACCTCAGCTAATCTGTGACATATATTTTTTACTTTAATGTCAGAGTCAAACATTTGACTGAGAGAATTGAAAAATATATGTTATTAGCTGTGTTGGTTTGATTTAGCATTAGATAAATCCAAACTGCAGAGAATAAGAAAACAGTGTGTGGTAGCGTGTGGTCACAGTCTAGCAGACCAGTCCCGGTTCTTTCTCCTAATCAGATAATGTTTCAGATTTAAACACTGCAAATTTTCGGACAACATGCAATAGTTTTGCAAAGGCACGAGATTCATGCTGCAATGTGTTCATGTTCGTACCTGATTCCCCATATCTGGGGGTACTACATAAAACTTGTCTTTTTCTAAGAACACAGAAGAAATGTTCATGTATGATAATTGACATGGTGATGTTTGATGAACGGTTGTGATGCAGAACGCAGTGGAGCAACCTCCCAAGTACTTTGGAAGATGGGTAGGGACATACACTATAAACATGTTCGTTGTGGTGTGGGTTTTGATTGTCGGGTTCGGATTCGGTGGATGGGCGAGCATGACGAATTTCATACACCAGATTGACACATTTGGGCTGTTTACAAAGTGTTACCAATGTCCACCACCGGCATCGGTAGCCTCACAACCGCCACCCCACCACAGCCTTAATGCCACCGCGGCTGCTCTTCTACACCACCCTTTCAACCACTCTCATATGCCATGAATCATTTGCACACATTGGTCATCCTTGTTACTTTAGATTGTTGATAGAGAAGGGATGCAAGCCGGAGCTTAAATGGAAGTTGACAAATCAGATTATATACACACATTGGTCATCAAACTTGAGTCTTTCTCTGTCGTTTTTAATTAGATTAGGGAGTTTGTAATGCATTTTCCTGGAAAAGAAACAAGGAAACAGAGTTTGTATAAAAAAAATGGAGGATCCTCTCTGCTTTGTAGGTTGTTATGGTTTAGTCTCAGATATGTAAGAGTTGTGTTCTCTTCCACCTGCCCTTTACAATAATGTGAATTGTTCCCTTGTTTTTATTTTAATTAATCTATTTGTATAAGATCTATTGACCGTCTAATTTAAATTATGTTTTACAAAGGCTTATTATGGGAATGATCTTTCTAACTCAGTTTCCTTCATCTATAAACGTCAGAACTCATACCTATAATGTTATTTAAAAATCTAATACCTCATCTCAATGCGAATTATTCCCTTGTTTATTGGATTATCAAAGCAAACATTTGGTAAATCTGAAGCTATAAAAAAAAAGAGAGAATCTACTTTATGACTTGGGACAGAATGAGAAATCCAAATCCTACTGTTCTGCTGCAAAGAAAATTGGCAGTGGCTTGTCTCTCTTATTTCTAGATTAAAGGTAGTTTGTAAAACCAACTTTATGATGTTTTTGGGCTCCAATACCACAATTACGTAAAAATTCTATCAATTTAGTCCATAAACATATTATCATCGTCTCTTTAACTAAAAGTTACATGAAACTTTGCAAATCAATGCCAAAGTGTTCCCAAAATCCATTCCCCCCCAAGAATTTTATGTTCATAATCTACGTTGAAGACCAGATGTGGATTAGTCTTTTAGGTACTTGTGTCACCTACAGATTGATGTGAACATATCTTACAATAAAAATATAAATTATATTTTCTTTTTTCAAAATGAAGAGAAGATAAAATTGTTGCATTAAGAAGAGAGAATACTTTTGGGTAGAATAATATTTTAATTGTTTGCTAATTTCAATATTATTCAAATAAGGTGTCTCTCTCCTTTAATTTTTAAATTTAAATGATTAATAGATCCTTATCCCTCTCAATATTAAATCTTTAATTTCGTCTTTGTCTATATAATAGAGGAGAGACACTTCGTCTCTCCCTCTTATAGGCTCTCTTCAATTTGTCATTCTTATAATCCTATTTATCTCTTAACTTAGATGACACTTCATCTAAATCAAAAAAGATAATCACAAATCACGATTTAACTGTCTCATTTTCATCATAGATCACCATTAATGAGAATTAATGAGAGGCACGAAGGGAAGTTTCAAAACCAGACCATTATCTATTTCAAATTTCAGTAGCGTATTTAGATTTTAAAACCAGAATCGAGGTTTCGAAATTGGGATACCCGGTTTTGATACCAACTTGCTAGTTTCCAAAGGAGAGACACTTCGTCTCTCCCTCTTATAGGCTCTCTTCAATTTATCATTCTTATAATCCTATTTATCTCTTAACTTAGATAACACTTCATCTAAATAAAAAAAGATAATCACAAATCACGACTTAACTGTCTCATTTTCATCATAGATCACCATTAATGAGAATTAATGAGAGGCACGAAGGGAAGTTTCAAAACCACACCATTATCTATTTCAAATTTCAGTAGCGTATTTAGATTTTAAAACCAGAATCGAGGTTTCGAAATTGGGATACCCGGTTTTGATACCAACTTGCTAGTTTCCAAACTACTGTAGCTTTTGAAACTTTAGTGTGTTGTTGGGTTCTGAAAACCGGTTCCGAAACCCACTTTCAAACATTGTTTAAAATGCTTTAAATTTTATCCACAAATTCTTAAACAAATCTGATGGTTCTCAAATTACAACCGTTGATGATATGACTGATAATAATCGATGTAAGTGATGACTGTTGACATAAATATTTTATTAAAATAATATCATTTTGATTCCGATGTTTGCGATTTAAAGATGCAATGATATAATTAAAATAAAAATGAAAATGAAAATGAAATGATATGATTGATAAAATTAAAAGTTTAATGATATAAATGACAAAGTTTAAAATTCAGTGATATTTTAATATAATTTACTCAAAAAATTATGTCGTCCAAGTTTTATTACACTACGTCCACGCACTCGTTGGGGTACTCTCAGATGTCATTTCAGAGGTTTAAGATTAGGTTACATATCATTACACGTTGGTACTTTACGAACGTCGGCTGATGTCGAGATATTGTTTATCCTTTTCGATAACCCACCTTTTCCTTTAGCCCCTTCCACCTGAAACTTCATTCGTGAATTCCAACAATGGAAGACTAGAGAGCTCCACAATAATAATAATAATTTAAAAAAACATCTTTTTTTTTTATCAGACTTCATTTGATAAAAATGCGTAAAAGAGAAGTTCACACGTTTGTAGTTGTTCGTGGTAGTCATAGATTTAGAAGAAAAAAAGATTTGAACTTTAAAGTAACACGTCTGTAAGTGACAATCGACAATGATTGATATATTCGATGATATATTTAAAAATATTTTTAAAAGTAAACATCGTAAATAATAAAAACACCGAATTTTGATATGCGAACATAAATAAAAATTTAAGTTAGACACAATAAGAAATATCAAAAACAATTAAAAGATAATTCAGTTCTAGGATATATAGGTGTTCTATGTTTATCTCAGAGTGGGATGGTAAAAAAACCCGAATTCGACAGGAAAAATCGAATTAAACGGGGACGGAGAAAAATTGTTTATGTTAAACGGGGACGAATTTAGTAATTTTCACTCCGATTATCCGGCCTGATAAATATTAAAATAATTATTATATATATATATATTAATAAATTTAAATTAAATTTAAATATATATATATATATATATAATATTTATATATTTAATTTAAATATATATACCTGGCCCGATATCCGTTTAAATAACCGTTTATGCTAAACGGGGATACCCGTTTCCCCTCGATTTTCCCCGATTACTCAATGGGGATCCCCGTTTAAATCCACGCGATTTTTTAAGCGGAGACGGGTACGAGTTTTTAAAACGGGAACTGGGGACCAATACCCAGCCCGTTGTCATCCCTAAATTCCCACATGACTACTCCAGTAGACACGATAGATTTGGCCGAAATCAATTGATTTTAGGAAGAGAAAAAAATTAAGGAATATATAGAAAAAAATTAATTAAATTGATAGGAAGTGTGAATATATATATAGAACTATTATCTCAATTAAAAAGAGCCATATCAGTATCACCGATACTGATTTAACACAAATTACTTGATTTACACCAAAAATAAAACTTTAACAACCTAATTGACAAAAACATTTTTTTTGTGAGCAGAATAAAACGTGAGAATCTTAATGACTTTGCAGCACTGAAAAAGCTAATATGTTACAGTGGCCACAAAACGTGGTCAAAACTTTCTTTAATAAGAGGGGAAAAGAGAGATTCCCATTGCAAGAGCATGCCACCTATGGTAATAATAAAGGGTTTCTCAATTGAAAGTAGTTAATCTCTATTCTGTAAACAACAAGACAAATAATATGGGATTGGGGGACAACGCCTTTTTCTTTCTTTTCAGATTTGAAGGCACACACCCTCCAACCCAGGGTTTCCTTTGGAATGATTGCCCTCAAACCAACATGTCAACCAACTAACGAAAGCTCTTCCTCCAGCATGCTACCAATACAAACAGAAAATTCCTTAAAATATTTACAACTTTGGAACTCGGAGTTTGGCACTTGGGCACAATGGAAAATTTCGTTCAAGGGTCGAGAAACATATCAAATTGATTCAGAGTTACAAATGTATGCCAGGTAGTGTTGATGGAATAAGTTGATTGTATCTGTTATAGTTCACTACTTCTAGTTTGGACAAAGAGTCATAACCATTTGTTCTGGTTTGGACAAAGAACCGTTGTCAGTGGAAGAACAACGTAGGTCCATACAAATATTGAGACCAACCTAAGAATAGATCCTCAATTCTTAGTCGCATATGTTTCCTAAGAAACATATCAAATTGATTCAGAGTTACAAATGGTCGGCTATAGGCAATTCACCACTTTTGTTTTAAGATTAAGATTTAGGCAAAGAACCGTAACTGTTACCGGTAGAAGAATGGACATCAACATTGGCGTAGATCCATACGATAAATGAGATCAATCTAACAAAAGAACATTTGCAGAGAAAAAAAAACCCAAAACCAAGCAATTTGGGAAATGAGATCCCATTAGGGCATTCTTGTATTACCCGACAATGCATCCTGCATGGCAGAGAGCCTAGGACTAAAAGATAAACCTAAATTGTGTCCACCCCAAGCAAAAGCTACGCAGATGGGTTTCCTTTCAATTTGCTCTACAATGTCCCAATCATTCATGCCCTTGGCCTAAATGGACCAAACGAAGAAAGCAACAATTCTTCCAGTCCAATCAAAGAACGCATCGCGAGACTGGTCTATTAAAACCGACTAAAACCATAGCAGTAGGCAGGACTAAACCATTTAATGAAACCTTATAAACAGAGTAAAGGGTTTAAAAACAAAGGACCACTGGCAATTAAAAATAGCAAATAACCCTATAATCAGGAGACTTTATGTTGCATTATTCACACTTTACTCACCAACCCCTTTCACCATCTAGTATAAAGAATCAAACAAGAACACACTTCCTGCACATCTAACAAAAGAACCATAGCAGTAGGCAGGACTAAACCATTTAATGAAACCTTATAAACAGAGTAAAGGGTTTAAAAACAAAGGACCACTGGCAATTAAAAATAGCAAATAACCCTATAATCAGGAGACTTTATGTTGCATTATTCACACTTTACTCACCAACCCCTTTCACCATCTAGTATAAAGAATCAAACAAGAACACTCTTCCTGCACATCTAACAAAAGAAACCCAAAAAAGGTAAGATTTCTGCAAATGTCAATCTTTAAAACATTATAACCCAAATACAAATTCAAAACCCGTCAGATAAAGACAATATAATATTTTAAAAGTTAAATCAAGCCTTAGAGTTGAGAGATATATTTGATCTGATCTTTACACATCATACTGGAAAATGAAACTCATGAAAAGGAAAAGACTGAGCCAAACCATCACTTCGTATTTATATATTATATTTATATAAACACTTAACAGAGAGTGAAGGATTTAAACATAATCTCCTTTTCATCATTGCGCACATCAATACTAAATTCCACTCCACTGTAAGAACAAGGAAAGTGCCCATTACATCAAAAACCCAGAAACAAAAACAAGTAAACTGACTAGGACTAGGAGCAATCGATCTTCATAAACCCAAAATAAAAGAAACATAAAGTACCATAACATAGGACAGTAATAACCAAAACGAAAGGAACGGCATTGAAAGAGAAAAGGTCGTTCAAATAGAGATGTGAAAGACAGATTTAACAGCATTCCAAACTAACGCCCGCTGTTGGGACACTCCCTAGCGAAATGCCCGGATCCCCCACAGTTATAACAAGCACCACCGCCGCCTCCACCGCCACCATAACCGCCGCCGCCTCCACCATAACCACCGCCGCCTCCATATCTGCCTCCAGCGCCGCCGCCACCTTGTCCACAATCACGTGCCATATGACCCATCTCACCGCATTTATAACAAGCGCCGCCGCCGCCGCCACCTCCACCACCGCCACTATATCCACCTCTTCTACCTCCTCCACCATAGCCACCAGATCCACCACCTCCATAGCCACCGCCACCGTAACCACCTCCGCTTCCACCGCCGCCGCGTCCGGATCTCGTGGTGCCTTGGACGGGATTGCCGTTGGGGCCAGTAACTTCAAGGGCCTTGGTGCGACCTTCAGAAGAATCGATAACGAACTCGACCTCTTCACCGTCAGCGAGGCTACGGAAACCCTCGGATTGGATGGCGGACTGATGAACGAACAAATCATCGCTGCCGTTGTCAGGGGTTATGAAGCCATAACCCTTCTGGTCATCGAACCACTTCACCTTCCCAGTCTGCCTACTCTCACCCATCTTCTTCAAAGCAAAATCCCCAGGAAAAAAAACTCAGAGAAACAGAGAGAAAAAAAGATATGAAAATAAAGCGGAAGCGGAGTTGGGGGCACTTTATATTGCAGATCAGAGCATTGCATAAGGTGTGAGTGACACGTCAGATTAGGGCAATGTTGAATAATAATTATTAAATAAATTTTCTTAATTAAAGTAAGAATCAAAACGACTGCGGGATTTCAGAGGAAGGCATCGGACGGCTGGGGGTGTAGGATCTGGTAGATGGATATGAAGCGTTCGATTATATGATGGTGAAAGTGCGTTTTGGGAATTCGAAATTACCAAGGAGTTCAGAGTAAAAAAAGAAAAGTTATTCGGTGGGACCCAGAGTAAAATGCAATTTTTTTATAAAAGGGTAAACTATAAATTTAGTATCTCAACTACTACGTTTGTTATGTTTTAATCACTCAATTATTACTATTTTTAATTATATTTAATATTACATTTTGATTTTATTTTGATAATTCACTATTAAAAAATTAACAAAATTATTGATGTTACATTTTTAAAATTTTTCAATGATGATGTGGTGTTACTTTATGATAATACGTTAATATTATTATTAATTTAACAACAATTAGTTAAAATAAAATTAAAATTAAAATTAAAATGTAATGCTTAATATGATTTTAAAATAAAAGATAATAGGTGACCTAAACTAAACGAAATTGATAATTAGGCTGCTAAATGTGTAGTTTTCCTAAAAATATATGAAGAAAAGGACGATCTTATCCTATCTATCTACTTGCAGGCTGCACAGATGGAGTTAGTAAATAGTGATGATAATAGTAATTAATTAATAATTTATTTTGGGAAAGTAAAGAGACTGGTCAAAGGGTAAATGAAAAGTAAATATAAGTAACACCGACACTGGAACTGAGAGAGAGGATGGGAGTTTCTATGAACAAAGCTCGTCTTTTCAACTCCACAAAATAAAATATTAGCTTAGAGGCTGTCTCGAGTACCACCATACTCGTTATTCTAATGCACCATAGGAATCTTTTAATTTTTCCCAATTAGATAAATTGTGAGATTAAAGAACGAATGCCTTCACGTGCCATATTTTAATGAATTAACTATTTTTATAAAATTTTAGTTATACATTTTATTTAATTTATAAAAGATCATATAGTCATATAACTTTTCAAAATAGATATTATTATCAAATTTTATAAAATATCATATATTTTATTTAATTACTTTAGTGGTATATGATGTAGTTTACCCTATATAAAAATATAAATCTTATATCATATATAGTCTTCCTTTGTCCTCTGTTTTTCCTTTCTTCCTGTTGCTTGTTGGGTTTTAGCCATTATCACTGTTTTTGGGTTAATCCTTCGGTGCGGTGTTTGCGTTGAGATTATTTCATCGCCCTCTGTGTCTTCGATCAAACATCGATGTTTTTTCACATCATGCTTGCGCCATATCGATAGGTATGAGTGTTACTGTCACGTTTTATATTGCTTAGCTCCAATCTCTATTTTTTGGGTTGTTCTTCTTATTGTGCATCACTGTCGGGAATATTGAAAGCCATGCAACTGGGATGTTTAATACATAGTTAAGAAAATGTGTTATCGAAATCATTATTAGTATTTTAATATTTTCGATAATATATAAATAATATTTTTTATTGAAATATTAATTTTAAACGCTACCTAAAATGTTTACATTTTTGTAAAGCTCTATAAAACATTATTTTTTTTACTGAAAATGTTAATATTAGGTTCTACCATAAATTAGTTAGCAAAATAACATTTTCGATAAAAAAATTTAGGTAGCGCTTAACTAGAAATGTAAAAAATAAAACATTCCGATAGAGCATTCTTAGCCTATATTAAAGTTGGCGTATAAAATAACTACCCCATGCAACACAATTGTGTCAAAAAGAAAAGTGAGCAATTTTTTTGCCGAAGTACACAAATGATTTCCCAATTAATAATATTTTTTGAGTCTCCCGATGATAGGAGTTATTTTATTGAATCATTTGACTATTAAAATAATAAAATAATATCCAGATTATGAAGTTGATTTGTTGAGTCCATCGACTATTAAAGTTACAAAATGATCACTCAACTATTTATTATATTCCAAATATCATTTCCAATTAAAATAATGGTCGTTTGAGCTTGACATAACATGCTGACTAAGATATGATAGTCCTTTGAGATTAGGAGATCAACTTTTATCATATCTCAGTTAGTAGGTTAACGTACAACTCAGACTGTCGTTAATTTTTTAACAAAAAAAACTAGCTTAAAACATAATGAATAGTCGGGTGACCATTTTATAAATTTTAATAGTTGAGGGACTCAACAAAACACTCCTATAGTCAAAGGACGATTTTTATAAATTTTAATAGTCGAGTCAAAGACGATTTATAACTTTTAATAATTAAATAACTTATTAATACAATATCCTCGGGAGCCATTTGGGTACTTTACCCTTGAATCAATTAGGTGGCACCTCCTGCATTGGTGTGTTTTTGAAAGATTAACATGGAGGTTGTTTTCGGGCATGGCGAACTCGTTGAGTGCAATGACAGCCTCTATCGAAATATCATCTTCCCTTTCATCCATCAGCTTCACTAACGGTCCGATGATCCTCATATCGGTTGTTCGGAAAGTTCAGGCCAAGTTTCCGATTGCTTTTCAAGGCACTAGGAGGTCCGAGTCTGCCTGAGATTTCCCTTGCAATCCTGCCTGAGAGCCATTGTTGCCATTGCCTTATTTGTGCTTTGGTGGTTTGGTCCTTCGATTTTCCCTAGCTTTAATGCTAGTTTCAAATAATGGAGAGATTGTTTGGCTTACTTACAATGGTATACTTACTATGTTCTTCAAGGTCTTGAAGGCGAGATGAAGGATGAGAAATTGAATTATGTTGTTTTCTACAAAATGGTCAGGGCATTAAGTAGTTTGAAGCCAATTCTGATATAGCCCAAGCAACAACAGTTTGAACCTTCATGTGAACTTCTTTTGAGAATTTTCGCTGACACCAAGCAAGCACCATCACAATCTGTTCGACACTTTCCGCGTTCACGTCCCAGTAATCCGATTGCCCTTGCTACATTCTCCCGAGCTTCCGGTTTTCCTTCCTTTACAAACTTCAATGAGAGAGGGACCCCTCCTTCCTCTATGATCAGCTTACAGTACCGATCACTGTCCCGGACCAAAGAAACCAAACAATGCAGAAGCATCAAATCGTTCATCTAAGAACCTGAATGAAGAATATAAATCTTTTCCCATAAAAGGCACATCATTGGGTCGAAGACCGAGATGTTCATTATAGCGATTACCATTTGAGGCGGACACCCGCAAGAGCACAAAACATCTCCTATAGAGTTTCTAGTCGCATCGATAGTTTCATAAAAGCCTGGGGGCTAATGGTGAAAACAAGCTTCATGAGATCACTTGCACGACACTTGTTGACAAGAGCTAGGGCCTTGACGAAGTCAACATGTTCGGTGTCATAATCGATTCTACATGTCGACCGTATGTAAAGGTAGTTACTGGAACGTGCAGCTTGATGGAGGAGACCCGACAGCTTCTCGGGCTTGGTTTTAAGCTCTTGGTTGAAAGATTGACAGTATCGGCTTTTGCTAGTAACTGTTACACAATGTCGGCCATGCCTAAGTATCTGAAAGTCAAAACCATGGATGGAGATTGCATTGAAGATTCCAAGGAGCAAAGACAAAACCATGCTCGACACCTTTCCTGGGAGGTTTACCAAAAGTCTCATCTTAATGGAAATTGCAGTCCTCGAATCATGCTGAAGATACAGAAAATTTTGAGCCTGTCGTGGTTAATAGCTTCAAGATCCTAAACAAAGGATGAGGTCCATGGAAATCACGGATCAACGTAGAATTTTATGTTATGATGAACACCACGATTAATAGATTTTTAACAAAAAATACATTAAAAATTAAAATATATGATGATTTTAAATTTTCAAGGCGACTGCCTCCACCATCCTCCCCTTTGTTCATTCTGATGGAACCATTGATAGAAATCAATCTTTTTAAGTTTAGATAGAAGTGTAAATATATATAGTGTTCGTGAATTGTTTGTATAACGTTCGTTTGTGTTGTTTATTAAACTAAATAAAACAAGTATGAATAAAATTCTTATGTTCATTTAATAAACGAACGAACAAACAAAGATGTCTTATTTGTTTAGATTCACGAACAAGCTTGTTTTTGGCTCATTTATAAGCTCTTTTACTTACTTACCAATTCTTCTTTTCCTTCTATTTTTATTTAGATATTAATGAGCGTAATCTAAATGAATATATGGTGAACTTTGAAGCTTAAGCTGTAAAGCCTAAGGAGTATAATAGGCTAGTGGTGTGATTTTACTATTTTTCTTTGATTTGCAAATAAAAGGGTAAAAGGGAGATGGTGACGAGGGACTCAAATCATATAAATGAATATGTTCACGAAAATTTAAATGAATCAAACAATAACACCTTCAAATAAGCAAATGAACATGAACATCATCAAAATAAATAAATAAATGAACACGAACACAATGTTCGTATAACATTCACATATGTTCATTTATAAGTTAAATAAACGATTATGAACAATTTTTTATGTTTTTTAATAAACTAACGAACATGACAAGTGTGTTCCGTTCATTTATGTTCACGAATAAGCCCATTTAAAAGATCATTTATTGGCTCGTTTACCTATTTCTCCATTTCTTTTTATGTTTTTACATTTTAAATATTGGTGAAAGTAGAGACTAAATTAAACACATGATGAACTTTGAAATTCAAATTGTGAAGCATAAGGAGCTTAAGGACCAGTGATATAATTTCACCAAATTTTCAACATACAAAAAGACAAGTTTCATGAACGTTAAACGAATATACTGACAAACATATAAACGAACATGTTCGTAAACGTTAAGCGAACATAATTGCCAATGCCTAAGAATATGAACATGAACACATAAAAAAATAAACAAACGAACACATAAAAAAATAAACAAACGAACACGATATTAAAAATTTAAATTAACA